GCACTCTCACAGGTCTGCATATCCCCTCGTTCTCCAGGAACCTAGTTGGTGTCGGCTGCCTCCAAGACCTTGGCGTCACCACTACGTTCCCTGGTCACGAGCGGTATGCTGTCTGTACCGAGGCCGCCACTGGTGCCCCCCTGTCCACGTTCCCACGGGACCCGGTGTCCGGCCTGTTCACTCTGGACACCGTGACCCCCCCAGCTGGAGCGCTCACCCAGGTTGCTGCTGCCTGCTCCTGTCGGTCCCTCACTCACCCGACCCTCCTTTGGCACCACCGCCTAGGTCACCCTGCACTCCCGCGTCTGCGTCACATGTCCCAGCACGGTCTTGTCCTTGGTCTCCCAGGTTCCCTCCCCGCGTTTCCCTCCTCCCCAGCCCCACCTTGCACGCCTTGTGTCGAGGGTCGGCTTCGCCGTGCCCCTCACTCCTCCTCGTTTCCCCCTACTGCCGCGCCTCTGCAGACCCTGCACCTGGACGTCTGGGGCCCCGCCCCCGTCCCTGGGCCGCGTCGAGAGCGCTACTTTGTTTTGCTTGTCGACGACTTCACTCGTTACACCACAGTCTTTCCCCTGGAGCGCAAGGCCGACGTGCCTGGAGCTCTCATCCCCTGGCTTGTCTCTGCGCGTGTCCACCAAGGTCTCCCTGTCTTGCGCCTTCACTCAGACCGTGGTGGCGAGTTTGCCTCAGGTGTCCTTGGTCGCTTTTGTCGTGCGGAGGGCATCACCCAGACGTTCACCCTACCGGACTCCCCACAGCAGAATGGGGTCGCTGAGCGACGCATCGGTTTGGTCATGGAGGTGGCTCGCACCTCCATGATCCATGCCGGTGCACCCCATTTTCTGTGGCCGTTCGCTGTGCGCTACGCTTCTCACCAGCTTAACTTGTGGCCGCACCCTCAGCAGCCGCAGGTTTCGCCGACCCGTCTTTGGACTGGGTCTCCTGGTGACGCGTCTGCGTTCCACGTCTGGGGCTGCCTTGCTCACGTCCGTGCCTCCGGCACGGACAAGCTCACTGCCCGCACCCTTCCCTGCGTCTTCCTCGGTTTTCCCCTTGACGCGTCCGACTGGCACTTTTACCACCCGCCGTCTCACTGCTTCTTTCACTCTCGTGACGTCACCTTTGACGAGTCTGTCTCCTACTACCGTCGCTTCCCCCACCGTGGTCCCCCGGTTACCCCCCCCCTGTTCCTGTTCACTCCTTCCCCGGTCGTCCCTGCCCCTCCTCCTCCTCCTCCCCGTCCCGCCCCCTCTGGTGTGTCCCACGTCACCCCCCTTCAGTCGGTGGACCCGGTTGAGGAGTCTTCTAACTCTGGTCGCCCTCCTGTTCAGTCCTCGCCGGCCGCCCCTCCCCTGGCGTCCCCTCCCCAGTCCCCCCCTCCACCGCCTCTGCCGCCGCTGCAGCCGTCGTTGTTGTGGCCGCCGCCGCCGTCGCAGCACCCGTTCGCTGACTCTGGGGGTGCTCGTCCCGGTAGCCCTGGGGGTGGTCCCTCTGGGGGTGCTGGTGTGGAGAGTGCCGGTGGTAGCCGAGGAGCAGCTTGCGGTCCAGGTGTCGCCGTTGTGCCGCCGCAGCAGCAGTCCCCGCCGGTGTCAGCCCTTCGCCTGCTCGGCCTTCCGTCCCCCGACCCTGCGTCGGTTCCTCCCGGACCGTCTCCTCCTCTTCCTGTCTACGGCCCTGTCTTCCCTCCGTCGGACTCGTCCCCTGCCCGTCTCCCCCCTCGTTCCCCTCCTGTGTCCCCTCCTCTGTCTCCTGACCCGACTCCTCCGTCGCACGTCTGTTCTCACCGTCCCTCCCGTGCTCGTCCTGCCTCGCCTGTCTTGCGCTCCCACCCTATGTTGCTCCGTTCCCACGCGTCTCGTCCTCCCCTTCTGTCGTCGCCTCCTCCGTCCTCCCTTGTTGTTGCACCCCCCCTGCTGTCTGACTACCTTCGTGCCGCTCGTCCCCTTGTTCCTCGGGTCCTTGCCTCTCTCGTTACCGACCCGTCTGTTCCGGCCTCGTGCCTTGACGCTCTTGTCGCTGCTGTCGCTGACTTTGCCTCTACCTGCCGCCTTGACTACGCCTCCGCTCTGGTCTCTGACCCTGCCTGTCCTCCGTCTGTCGGGGGTGCTCCTGCCCTTGGCAGTGACGTCCTGGAGGACCGCCAGTTCGAGCTTGCTTTCCTGTTCGAGGCTGCTCCCCATCTCTGTTCCATGCTGCTAGTCCCTGAAGGTGACCCAGACGCTTTCGACATCCCGACCCCTCGCACTTACGCTGAGGCGACTTCGGGACCCTGGGCCTCGCAGTGGATAGCTGCCATGGAGCAGGAGATGGCATCTTGGAGATCCACCGGCACCTTCGTCGACGCAGTTCCCCCACCTGGGGTGAACGTAGTCGATGGCCGCTGGCTCTTCAAGGTGAAGCGCCCTCCTGGAGAGCCGCCTGTCTTCAAGGCGCGCTATGTGGCTAGAGGCTTCAGTCAGCGTGAGGGGGTAGACTTCTTCCAGACCTTCGCTCCGACCCCGAAGATGACTACTCTTCGGGTTCTGTTACACCTAGCTGCTCAGCGTGACTACGAGCTCCACTCCCTCGACTTCTCCACTGCCTTTCTTCAGGGCAGCCTACACGAGCAGGTCTACTTGCGTCGTCCTCAGGGCTTTACTGGTACCTTCCCTCCTGGGACCCAGTGGCTCCTGCGGCGCCCCGTCTACGGCCTGCGCCAGGCTCCCCGTGAGTGGCACGACACTCTCCGTGCTACGCTTGCTGACCTGCAGTTCTTTCCGTCTTCCGCAGACCCTTCACTCTTTGTTCGTGCTGGCCAGACTCCGTTCTACATCCTTGTTTACGTCGACGACCTGGTCTTTGCCACATCAGACAGGGACGCACTGGCCTCCGTGAAGGCAGAGCTGCTGAAGAGACACACGTGCACTGACCTTGGAGAACTGCGCCGTTACCTTGGCTTGCAGATCTCCAGGGACAGAGCTGCGCGCACCATCACCCTGACTCAGTCACACTTGGTGCGCCAGGTCCTTCAGAGGTTCAGCCTTCAGTTCTCCTCTGCACAGCCCACCCCTCTGCCTGTAGACCACAGACTCTCCGCTCCAGTGTCTGAGGAGTTGGTAGAGCCCAGCGGCCCCTACGCAGAGCTGGTGGGTTGCCTCATGTACCTGATGACTTGCATTCGCCCAGATCTCGCATACCCTCTCAGCATCCTGGCTCGCTTTGTGGCCACAGGCAGACACCGACCGCAGCACTGGTCTGCCGCTAAGAGGGTTCTGCGTTATCTTGCTAGTACATCGGGCATGGGGTTAGTGCTAGGAGGACGCAGGCCAGTGGTCCTTACTGGACACACAGACGCTTCGTGGGCAGACGACGCTGAGACACTCAGGTCTACCCAGGGCTACTGCTTCAGCCTTGGCTCAGGTGCCGTCTCGTGGAGAGCTACCCGCTCCTCGTCTGTTGCCCAGTCCAGCTGTAAGGCTGAGATCTACGCTGGTGCCATGGCGGCACAGGAGCTCCGCTGGCTGACCTTCTTGCTCACTGACTTAGGTGAGCGGCCTAGCTCTGCCCCGGTCCTGTTCGCTGACAACAGGGCCATGATCCTCCTGTGTCAAGAGCCTCGACTCGAGGGCAGAGCAAAGCACATTCATGTGCGGTACTTCCTGCTGCGTGAGCTACAGCAGCGACGTCAGGCTCGCGTAGTACACTTGGCCTCAGGTGCCAACACGGCTGATATCTTTACGAAGGCGCTTGCGCATAAAGATCATCAGCGGCACTGTGTACAGCTTGGTGTAGTTCCTGTAGCCTCTCACTTGCTAGGACCTTGACTTTGTACTGTCCTTTATACGTATACTCAGACTGGACTTGTGGCCTCTCCCAGTGGCTGGACTAGTAATGCCGCCCTGCTCTTGTTCTTGCCTTGTCTTTACTCCTTCTGAGTGGTCTCTCAGACCCTTGTCTCAGAGGTTGGACTAGTAGTGCCGCCCTGAGCTGCTTGTTTAGGACATTCCCCTTTGCAGTCTAGGGGGTGTGTCAAACATGTGTATTTGTCATGTTTGTATAGACTGTACAAGGTAGCCTCTTAGATGGTACAACACTTAGGTATATCTGTGTGTACTCTCACTCTATCATCATTCACTTCTCTAATTTTGATAGTCTGGTGCCATTGCCGAGGAGATAAACCTGGAAGTTGGTTAACCTTGGTAGCTGTAAATGTCTTGTTCTAAGGCAGCATGAAAACGACGACCAAATGTCATGTGTTGAACATTAAAACATGGTCGCTGAGTAGAGCTCGCTGTTTAAAAGCTTCACCTGATAAGAAATTGCTGGACAATTGGCATGGTAAAGGTCGTGGCAGAATCCATGGCGGTCCTGGCATCATGGTAGCATGGTTCTAAGATTAGCATTATAGCCATCCCAACATTCAACATGAGTAATTCGATGCTTCGAATACAGGGGTGGAGCGGGTTTTCCCGCCAGACCACACCCAAAACGCGTGTCCAGCACTCGATTCGACCACATTGTGGAGGCAAAGGGTTTTCTGGTTTTTCATTTGCTGGTGGTTTGCATTTGGATGCTGTCAGGGTAAATTCCGCAGCGAGTGTTAGACCCGAGGGTTTAGAGGGAAGATCGGAGGCTGGAAAAAAATTGCCTTGGGTCTAGCGAAGAACTGAAACGAGGTAGATGAACCAGACCGAGGAACCATAATTAAACATTTCCCTCACCCTCAAATCTCGACCAGGTCCTGCATATGTCTATCCCTAAACGGGGAGCTAACCGATTTTGGCTCCAATGATACCTTTTTGGGATGTTGGACCAGAAATATTATTCAACGGGACAGGACGGAACACAAGTCGCGCAAATTTTACAAGCCGCGTTCTCGATGCGCGATGCAATTCGGGACGACTGGGGGAGGGAAAGCGAAATGCACATTTCACAAATCATCCCAATTTCGGTCGTGCTTCCACCACCAGACCAGACCAGACCCACCAGACCAGACCTGCTGACATTCGCTCCAAGCCCCAAAGTTTCTCTAATACAGTACAACGTAGTACCCCCAAGGACTCACCTTAGCATCCCTGACAATTGTACATCGCTTTTACGTAGTTCCTCCCACCTGAGCATTCTCCTTACAGTCTTTCGCGCAGAATCAAGCGCGCCTGTGTTATCCAGCCGTCCAATTCGCTGTTGACCAGATTAGAGTTATGGCGTTGCGCTATTCCGCTCTGTCCCTCTGGCTGCTGTTACCAGCTGTCGTACATGCTGCGTTACCAAACGCGCACGATGACGTAGCGGCCACTCGGATCCGCGGCCAGGCGAGGAGCTTGGCGCAAGTCGCCCCGTGCCGCGCGTCGACGCTGGGAGGGTACACGTCATCAGTCGGATTCAACAGGAAAGGGTACGACGAATAATAGGCGTGAGCTTGTCACAAATCCAGGGTCGCAATGCACTTCGGCAGCATTTTTTTACTGGCAAAAAGCACAATGCCATGAGGCAGACTGAACAATGAGGCTACAAAGTGGGAACGGCGGTGACTATGCAGCAAGTCGCGCACGCTACTCTATTCCGAGATGGGCCCCTTCGAATAAATGCGAGGGACAACGCCGAGGCGAATAGAAACTACATGCAACAACTTTAAGCTGCGACGTCCAAGCATTCACGTGCTGCGATCTTGCCGTTGAAACAACGAAACATTATGTTCCCTGATTTTCTCTGCCAACTATTCCCCTCGATTTCCTCCCCTAGGTTCAACTTCCACTGGAAGATGAAGGGCCGTCAGAGCATCAATATTGCTGGTGCACGTTCTCGTCGTACTGCGATCATTTCATGTGCCAACACTCTTCTCGAAAATTGTTTCCAGGTTCAACCTCCACTGGAAGGTGACGGGCCGTCAGAGCATCGATATTGCCGTCGAGGCGAAATCCGGCAGCGGCGTCGCCAGGGGATGGTTCGCTATAGGCTGGTCCAAGTCCGGTCTAATGTACCCCGCCGACGCCGTTATAATGAATTTCAAATCGAACGACAACGACGCTACACCGCCGGTGGGCACATACGCGCTGTCGAAGCGTGACGATTCGGGCGTGAAGCCAACAACGAGGTTCGCTATAACGGACACGGAATTCACGTCCAACTCTAGCGCCGGAGTTCTCGTGAGGTGAGCTGGCAGTGCCCTTTCGAGTCAACTCTCGAGTAAAGCTTAAACGCATTTCGTCACATGCTAGATAAAGCTCCGATTAAAGACTTCGGTTCACTACTAACATAAGGCTAATAACCATCCCCAACTCTGCAGTAGTGTTGCGCCATCCACGGTATAATCTCCTACTCGTTTTCTTCTACTTCTCCATCTCCGTTTCCCGCCGTTGGATCAGGTTCACTCGCAGCAAGTTCGACGGGATCGTGCCCGTCAATTACAACGGCCCGAACCAGATCATCTTCGCGTACGCGCCGTACGGCAGCCAGGAGGTCCAGGGCCACGGCGGCAAAAAGTACGCACCCGCGTTTCCCGTACAAGCATGACTCAAGAATCGTACACTCGCTACTGTTATAGATGCACCACTACTCGCAACTTTCTGCGCAACCTTAGACTCGATTATGTTCCCCCCTCCCGCATTCGGTCGTTAGGTTGTCGCCTTCCGCCAAACAGCGCCCTTCCCCCCCTTCCCCTCTCCCCTTCTTCCGCCCATTCTTCCACTTCCACCCCGTCCTACCCCAGGGGATGGATTCTTGTCGACTTCTCCTGCAAGCCTGGTTCCGCCTCCGCGTCTGGCTCCCCCCCGCCTTCCTCCCCCTCCAAAGCGCCCTCCGCCACACAAACCCCTTCCCCCTCCAAATCCCCGAAATCTCCGGCCAAGTCCCCCGCCAAGTCTCCCCCCACATCTCCCCCAAAATCCCCGAAGTCTCCCCCGAAGTCCCCCCCGCCCGCGTCCCCTTCCCCGCCAACTGGTGTGATGAACCCCGTGAGCACCCCCTGTAAAAGCACCTCCGGTAGCAGCAGCAGCTCCTGCAAGGCGTCTACTCTGGCTGGCTACACTGGCTACGTAGACTTAAACGGCAAAGGGTAAGCTAGTTTAATACTGCTCCTCGAATCATGTCTGCTGATTCTAAACAAATGAGCCATACAACCACATTTTCTTCTTACGCATTCTGCTTCCCTCCATGTGCACTTCTCCCCTGTCCCCGTTACAGTCTCCACCTGCATTGGAAAGTGACCTCTGATACCAGTGTAGCTCTGGCCGTTGAGGCGAAAGCAGGCAGTGGAGCAGAGAAAGGGTGGTTCTCCGTGGGTTGGTCCGGATCCGGTTCTATGGTCCCTGCTGACGCCGTCATCGGGAACGTGAAAGGCCTGTTGCCTGTAGCGAGTTACGCTGTATCGGGGTATAGTGCGAGTAAAATCGCGGTCACTTCGCGGTTTGCGATTGGGCAGCCAGAGCTGCTGACGTCAACTAGTGGCGTCACCATGAAGTACGTTGGCATGGTGGTGGTGTGAGCATGGTGGTGGTGTCAGCATGGTGGTGCAGGTGTTTAACTTTGTGATGTTTTCGTTCAAGCTCTCGTGTCTCTCCAATCTCTCTGTGGTACTCCAGCTCATGTGCACATCACACATCAGATTTCATCATCATATTTCAGAACACCACATGGATTTGTTCTCCTCCTCATATAGCATAGAGTTATTTTCTCCCCTTTCGCAGGTTTGGTCGCAGCAAGGCTGACGGGGAGGGCATAGCGGCGATCAACTACAAGGGAAAGAACAAGATCATCTGGGCATACTCGGGCGATGGAGCTCGCACCATCAACGACCACAAGAACAACTAGTAAGACACGACCCTGCAGAACCTTTCTTGTGTGTTGTGTGAGTGTGTGTGATGTTTCTAACTATCCTCTGGGCTTGTTGTCATTCTCTCATTCTCTCCCTTGTGCAGTGGCGCCACAACTGTGGATTTCTCCTGCAAGCCTGCACCAACCAAGTGTTAGAATCCTCCCATCCTCTTCTCCCGAACATTCGCAGGATTCCCTGCCTCTTCTCTATTTCCCCACCCCCAAAACAACCTCCTTTTGACAATCACCTTCTTCTTCCCTTAGCCCGTTATTAGAAAGGGCTTGCCCGTAATTAAAAAGGGAAGTTCACAGCTCAGAAAGAAGGGGTCTTAGATATACACTTGTTACTGGTGCCATTTACGGCACCTTATAAAGTGTTGAATGCTCATCATGGCATCTAATAAAATGGGTTTGCATGACGGCTTTGCAAATCCCCCTTGCAATCAGCATGAAGCCTTGAAGCTCTGAAGCATTACGCAAAATTAGCTTGCCAAAGTAGGGAGCTTCTTGTTAGAGTAGCGGGAAAAAGTTGTCAACTTATACATATTATCTATGTAGAAGTTATAGGCTAGACTGAGGTATGCTTCTAGTGAGTACAACCAACTAGTATTTGTTCTAGGTTTCCACCTCTAGTAATCATTCGTTTCTACGTTAACATGGTATCACGCTTAGGTTAGGATCCCCCCGCCTACCGCTTCCGCCCGTCGCGCCTCCTAGGCCCCGTCGCGCCCCCTAGGCCCCGTCGCGCCCCCCCTGGGCCCCGTCGCGCTCGTTAGGCCCCGTCGCGCCCCCCCTGGGCCCCGTCGTGCCCGCTGGGCCCCGTCGCGCCTCCTAGGCCCCGTCGCGCTCCCCCTGGGCCCCGTCGCGCCCACTGGGTCCCGTCGCGACCCCTAGGCCCTAACGCGCCCCCGCTGGGCCCCGTTGCGCCTCCTAGGCCCCGTCGCGCCCCCCATGGGCCCCGTCGAGCCCGCTGAGCCCCGTCGTGCCTCCTAGGCATCGTCGCGCCTCCTAAGCCCCGTCGCGTCCCCCCCCTCTGGGCCCCGTCGCGCCCGTTCGGCCCCGTCGCGCCCCTCCTAGGCCCCGTCGCGCCCGCTGGGCCCCTTCGCGCTTCCTAGGCCCCGTCGCGCCTGCTAGGCCCCGTCGCGCCACCCCTGGGCCCCGTCGCGCCCGTTAGGCCCCGTCGCGGCCCCCCTGGGCCCCGTCGTGCCCGCTGGTCCCCGTCGCGCCTCCTCGGCCCCGTCGCGCCCCCCCTGGGCCCCGTCGTGCCCGCTGGGCCCCGTCGTGCCCGCTGGGCCCCGTCGCGCCCCTTAGGCCCCGTCGCGCCCGCTGGCCCCTGTCGCGCCTGCTGTTAGCGCTCGCTCGCCTGGCCTCCTCCTAGTGCCGCTCGGCCTCCTCCTAGTGCCGCCCGGCCTCCTCCTAGTGCCGCCCGACCTCCTCCTAGTGCCGCCCGGCCCCTTCCTAGCGCCGCCCGGCCTCTCCTCAGCGCTGCCCGGCCCCTCCTCGTGCCCGACCGGCCCCAGCAGCACCAGCCTGGCCCCTCCCAGCACCAGCCCGGCCCTAGAGCACCTGCCCGCCTCCCCTGCTCGGCCTGCCGTGTCCTCTCGGGCCCTGTGTCTTCTGCTTGCCTGCGCTGGGACGCCTAGCTGCTGCCCTACTGGAGAGTGCTGCCGCCGTGTCCCCGCGCCGCTGTGCTCCTGTGTCGCTGAGGAGCTGTGCCGCTGACCCTGCACGATGGCTGACTTTGTGCTCCGCCTGGACGCTGAGGGCCACGCGGTTGACTTCGCCGCCTGGCTCTCCGATCTTCGCCGCCAGCTTACAGGTCAGCGCCAGGATGGCCACTCTCTGGTTGTCCATGCTGATGGCTTGCTCCCCCGTCCCCCTGCACCTACTCCCCTCCCTGCTGACCCCTCCTCTGATGACCGTGAGGCTTTCTCTACTTCTGCGCTAGCCTGTGCGGTCTGGGACTCACGCGATGCAGTAGCTCAGGTTGCTATTAGTCACGCCCTCCCTGTGTCTGAGCGCTCGCGTTTTGCTACTGTTGAAACGGCCAAAGCTTATTTAGACGCCGTTATTGCTCGCTATTCCACCCCTGCCTCCGCTTCTGCTGGCCGCTTGCTCTTTCCGATGCTGTTCCCAGACCTGGCTGCCTTCCCTACTGTCGCAGATTTTGCCACTCATTTGCGTGCCCTAGAGACTCGCTATCGCACTGCCAGCACTGCTGCCCAGCTCACTGCGCTCCCCCCTCCTTTCTGCATGACGCTCTATTTTATCGCTATGCGCCTGCCAGACCGCCTCGCTAGTGCTCGCGACCACTTTCTTAGCCAGCACCCGGGTGACCTCACCCTGACCGCCTTTGTCGACACCCTCACTGAGATCGAGACTCGCCAGCGCACTATCGCTCAGTCGAGCGGTGCGCCGCCAGTCTCTATCTTTCACGGTTGTGCCCCATCCCCGTGCACGTTCACTGACGTTTCGGCTGCGGTCGCCACGGCGACCCCTCTTACCGAGACGGCTGCTGCTGTCCACCCGCAGCAGCGCTCGCGTCGCGGTGGCCGTGGCCGCCAGGGAGGTAGGGGTGGTGACGCAGGTGGTAGTGGTCGTGGTGGTGGTGACGGTAGTCCGCCTGAGGGGACTACCATCGGTGGGCAGGAGCAGCAGCCCCAGCAGCAGCAGGACCAGCCCCAGCCGCAGCCGCCGTCCCAGCAGCACCCGCCGCAGCCGTGGGCTCGTCTCCCGCCTGGTTGGCCCGGCACCTCCGGAGGCGGTGGCCGTGGTGGCGGCCCGCGCAGCTTGGCGTCTACCAGCGGCTCCAGTGCTGTGACCTGCCAGTACCAGCTTCAGACCGGGCCTCTCCGCGGCACTCTGTGCCGCCGCCCGCACCCGACCGCCCGCTGTTTCCGCCGCCTCGACGATCTTTTTCGTCGTCGCTTTGGCCCGGCCCCGGACCTCCCTGACTGGCACAGCCTGCTCCGCCAGGGCGTGCCGATCTTTGAGTTAGACATGGATCAGATAGGTGCTGCTTTGCATGCTTTGTATGCTGACGCTTCTAGTGTTGATGGATCTTACTACCATGTGTACTCTAGTTTAGGTGTTTCACCCTTGTGTAGCTTAGCTTCCCCTGCTGCGACAGGCGTAGGACTGCCTAGGTTGCCTAGTCTAGTCGCTGCACCGGCTCCGTCCGCGGCCTCCGCCACTGCGTCGCTGTCCTTCACTCTCGACTCTGGTGCTTCTGCCTGCTTCTTCCGCGACCGTTCCACGCTCACGCCGCTTGCTGCACCTGCTGTTGTCTCTCTCGCTGACCCCTCTGCGGGTCCGGTCGTCGCGCGCAGTTCTACGTCCCTTCCCTGTCCGGCAGTTCCCTCGGGCTCCCTTACTGGCCTCCACGTTCCCTCGTTCTCCAGGAACCTGGTTGGTGTCGGCTGTCTCCAGGACCTCGGCGTCACCACCACGTTCCCCGGGCACGAGCGGTTCGCTGTCTGTTCTGAGGCTGTCTCAGGTTCCCCCCTTGCGACGTTCCCCCGGGACCCGGTGTCCGGTCTGTTTACCCTACACACCGCTTCCCCCCCGGTTGGTGCGTCCTCCCAGGTCGCTGCAGCTTGCTCGTGTCGGTCCCTCACTCACCCCTCCCTTCTCTGGCACCACCGCTTAGGTCACCCTGCTCTCCCGCGTCTGCGTCACATGTCCCAGCACGGTCTTGTCTTAGGTCTCCCCGCGTCGCTCCCTGCCCTTCCTCCCTCGACTGCGCCACCGTGCACGCCTTGCGTCGAGGGTCGGCTCCGCCGTGCTCCTCACTCCTCCTCGCTGCGTCCTGCTACTGCCCCCCTTCAGACCCTGCACTTGGACGTTTGGGGCCCTGCCCCCGTCCCCGGACCGCGCGGTGAGCGCTACTTCCTTGTGCTCGTTGACGACTACACGCGCTACACCACGGTGTTTCCCCTGGAGCGGAAGGCCGACGTGCCCGACGTTCTTCTCCCGTGGGTTGTAGCTGCGCGTCTCCACCGCGGTCTCCCCGTGTTGTGTCTCCACTCCGACCGTGGCGGCGAGTTCGCCTCTGGTCGGCTTGGACAGTTCTGTCGTGCGGAGGGCATCACCCAGTCGTACACGTTGCCGGACTCGCCACAGCAGAATGGGGTTGCTGAGCGCCGCATCGGCTTGGTCATGGAGGTCGCCCGTACCTCCATGATCCATGCCGATGCCCCCCATTTTCTGTGGCCGTTCGCTGTTCGCTACGCGGCTCACCAGCTTAACCTGTGGCCACGCTCCCAGCGGCCGCAGGTTTCGCCGACCCTCCTTTGGACCGGGTCCCCCGGTGACGCGTCTGCGTTCCACGTCTGGGGCTGCCTTGCTCACGTTCGTGCCTCTGGCACGGACAAGCTCACTGCCCGCACTGTCCCCTGTGTCTTCCTCGGTTTCCCCCTGGACTCGTCTGACTGGCTTTTCTACCACCCGCCGTCTCACCGCTTCCTCCACTCTCGTGACGTCACCTTTGACGAGTCCGTCTCCTTCTACCGCCGCTTCCCTCACCGAGGTCTCCCAGTTGCCCCCCCCCTTTTCCTTGCTCCCTCTCCCCCGGTAGCCCCTGCCCCTCTCCCGCCTCGTCCTGCCCCGTCTGGTGTCTCCCACGTCACTCCCCTCCCGTCGGTTGTCCCCGTTGAGGAGTCTGCTGACTCTGGTGGTACCCCCGGTCCGTCCTTGCCGCGTCCCCCTTCCCCAGTGCCTCCGCCCCCACTGTCGCAGTCGCCGACCCCGCTGCCGCCGCCGTCGCCGTCGCCGCTGTCGCCGCCACTGCCGCCGCTGCTCTCGGCCCCTGGGGGTGCTGGTGTGGAGGAGGGTGTTCGTCCTGCGGCTTCTGGGGGTGCCGCTGGTGTTGGAGGGGGTTCTCGCTCTTGGGGTGTTGGTTCTGGGGGTGCTGCTGTTGAGTGTTCTGCCGACGGTCGTTCTGCCTCTGCTGGTCCGAGAGTTCCGGCCCAGCCGTCGTCGCCGCCACAGCAGCCGTCGCCGCCGGTTTCCGCTCTCCGCCTGCTCGGCCTTCCCTCCCCGGACCGCGCGCCGGTGTCTCCCCCACCGCCTCCTGACCTCCCTGTCTACGGTCCTGTGTTCCCGCCGCCAGACTCGTCTCCGGCCCGTCTTCCTCCTCGTTCCCCTCCTGTGTCTCCTCCGCTGTCCCCTGACCCTACCCCTCCGTCTCACGTTTGGGCTCGCCGTCCCTCCCGTGCTCGTCCCGTCTCTCCTGTCCTGCCCACCCACCCTATGTTGCTCCGTTCCCACTCGTCTCGTCCTCCCCTCCTCCCGTCCCCTCCTCCCTCGTCCCTTGCTGTTGCACCTCCTCCGTTCTCTGACTACCTCCGTGCTGCTCGTCCCCTTGTCCCTCGGGTCCTTGCCTCTCTTGTTACCGACCCTGCTGTTCCTGTCTCGCGCCTTGACGCGCTTGTCGCTGCTGTCGCTGACTTCGCCTCTACCCGCCGCCTTGACTACGCTACCGCTCTGGTCTCTGACCCTGCCCGTCCTCTGTCCGTCGGGGGTGCTCCTGCCCTTGGCAGTGACGTCCTAGAGGACAGGCAGTACGAG